CCAATCAGGGACAGTCTCATCCAAACTCCCAGAGAGCCTGTTGTTTACAATAGCAGGTCCAGACGCTCATGAACACATTAAGACAGAAATGCGCCCCATGCTGGAAATGTTGGTTCAAAAGCCCTTAGTGTGTCTTTATATTAGCTTTGAAATGGAATGAAACCATTAAGGGTGTGAGCGTAAGGTCAAGGACAGAGAAGCCTGGCAGAGTCCACTGTGTCAAGGTCAAGGGGAGTGAGAATAAGTCCAGAGGCCAAAAAGGAACATCCACAGAGGAAGGAGAACCAGGAGAGATGGGGGTCCGGCTGGGAGCCTGAACCAGAGAGATAGGGGTAGGATAGACAGCTGAATTCTCCTGGGGCGGACAATTCGCTACCTGATATCTTTGTCCACCCACACACTCTGGCATGAAAACCAAGTCCACCGCCCCAAACAGCAGAGATGATCTCTAGTGTCTGACCTGAAGCCAGGGAGAGAGGCTGTTAACCTGCAGGTCTCCCCATCCCCCTCACCCACCGGTGGTTCCCAGGGGCAAGTCTGTCACCCATTATTAGAAAGGAGAAATATCTCCGGCAGGAAGGGCTCCATCTGCCTGCCACCCACCGAGCCTTGGCACAGCTCCTGATTGAGCGTCAGATCATTAGGTCCTGAGTGGAAGGCAGCAGCTGGACCGGTATCACCCAACGAGCAATTCCCTCATGAGCGCCAGCTGCCACTGAGAGTCTTTCTGTTCATGCTTTGAACTGGAATCGTCTCTCTCGCATCCCTTCATTACCGCACACATCGTACAGACAGCACCCATCAGATGCGCATTATCTGGCTCTTAGAGTCCAGCAGAGGGAGGCAGGCCCATCCTTACTCACACTAGGTTATCGGAAGACAGCTACAGGAGCGGGCAGTTCAGGGATCTCTGGGTGCTCTCACTTCAGTGAATCTCTTTTCTTTCCTCCCTTCTCTGCTCTCTTCTCTCCCCTGGCACGCTGATTTTTTCCAGTTCTAATTCTATATATGACTGACTCGTGAACTCAGTTGCACATTGGAATTACGTGAAGAATTTTTTTTTTTTTTTCTTAACGTGCTGATGCCTGGGTCCCATTCTGAGAGATTCTAGTTTAATTGATCTTGGGTAGGAGGTACATGTTTGGGGTTTTTAAAGTTCCTTGGGTAATTTTTTTTTCAGTTTTAAAATTGCATTTATGGATTGATTTTGATTTGTTTATTTTTCGTATGTCTGTGTGGACATGCATGCATGCACCACAGTTCATGTGCGGAGGTCAGAGGATAACTTGCAGGAGTTGGTTCTCTCCTACCATATGGGTCTAAGGAATTGAACTAAGGATTGAACCCGATGGCTTGGTGGTGAGTGCCATCTCACTGTGTCTCCTCAGGCAATTCCAATGTATAGACAAGTTTGAGAATCCGTTACCGAATAGTGAACCCAGTGCATGGAATAAAATCCTAGGCAAGAGGAGCTGGGTCTTCCTCTGGCTTCCTGTCTTGCTCCTCCTGAACATGGCCAGGCCTGTGGGACAAAAGCCTTGAAGCAAACTTACTCAGTTTGAACCCCACCTAGATAAAAACACACTGCTGCTCCGTGTCTAACTGACAGGACCCAGTGGAGGCGCTGACTCTGTGTGTCCAGCTCGTAGTCTCTCTCCACCTAGAGTGCTCAAGACCTTTTATTTCAACAACTTCAGATTTTTTTGCTGCAATCCTGTGTTAAGCAAGAGGGAAAGCAGAGGAAAGGGGACTGGAAACACCCAAGAGTATGTATGCACAACACACACACATACACACACACACACCATACACCATACCACACACACACACCATACACCATACATCATACCACACACACACACACACCACACCACACTACACCACACACATACAATACACTATACCACACATACACTACACCACACCACACACACACCACACACACCCTATACCCTACACCCCCCACACATACCACACCATACCACACACCACACCACACCACACACACACCACACACACACACAAATACACACACACACCACACTACACCACACACATACCATACACTATACCACACATACACTATACCACACCACACACACACCACACACACCCTATACCCTACACACCCCACCACACACCACACCACATACACACATCACACACTACACCACACACATACCATTCACTATACCACACACACACCACACCACACCACACACACAAATACACACGTACCATACACCATACCACACACACCACACACCCCCACACACACGCTACACACAACCCTATAACCTACACCCAGACACACACACACACACACACACACACACACACACACACACACACACACCCCACCCACACACACAGAATCAGGCTTACAATGGCATTCTGACCATGTGAAGTTTTCTGGTAGAGAAGAATGGACCATTGATTACCAGGCTTTTTCTCTTTGGCCACCACCAATCAGCTCCCAAATCATGGCACAAAGACTTATTAGTTTTGGATGCTCGGCCTAGTTTAGTATCTGTCTAGCTCTTTTAACTTAAATGAACCTGTTTCTCTTTGTCTGCCTTTTGCCTTGGGACTTTTTACTTTTCTTTATTTCTGTATATCTTACTTTTACTGCTTCTCATGTTTGCTGGCTGGTCTCAGCTGCCTGGCTTCTCGCCCTGAACGAGTCCCTCATTCTCTCCTCCTTCTTTCGTTCCTCCTCTTTTCGAGCCTAGATTTCTCTTATTTATTCTCTCTGCCTGGCAGCCCTGCCTATCCTTTTTCTGCCTAGCTATTGGCCATTCAGCTCTTTATTAGACCATTCAGGTGCCTTAGGCAGACAAGGTGAAACAAATGCAACACATCTTTACATAGTTAAACCCACATCCTTACATGGTCAAACAAATGCAGCATAAAGAAATGTAACACCCCTTTACACAGTTAAAGTAGTATTCTGCAGCATAAACAAATGTAGCACATCTTTGCCTAGTTAAAATCATATTCCACAACAAACCACAGTTCTTCATCAGTTCTGTTTTTGTGGAACTAGTTTGAAGAATTATGGGGGACGGGAGAAACTCTGAGTCCTTTACCCCCAAAGCAGATCTTGCTCAATGAGCTGAACTGCTTACAAGCCACGCCATCCTTCCTCTTCCTCTGGGACCCATAACTGGCGGGATCTAAACCTGCTTCAAGCCTACCAAATGCTGTGAATTCCAAGCTCCTTGAAGATGAATATCAGCACATTTCTAGAAGGCGATTTGGTAATATGTCTTAAGAGCATGAAACACTTCCAGTTCACATCCTTTTATCCAATCATGTTACTTCTTATCCTGAGGAAATAATTCGAGCTGTAATAAAAGATTTATGCATAAAGATATTCATCAAAGTGTCTGTACCAAAGTTATGTTGCAGTAACTATGAAGTTACTAAAAACTTTCCATACTCTATGGCTACGGTGAAATATAGAAAGTGTTAAAAACCCATATCTCCACGTAATTTTTACTTATTTAGTGTGCAAGTTGCATGGTATGGAGGTCAAGGGCCAAGTTGCAGGGTTGGCTCTCCTCCCGCCATGTGGGTTCCAGGCGTTGGATTCTGGTCATCAGACTTGAGAGCAAGTGCTTTCACCTGCTGACCCATGTGGCTGGCCCTCAAAGAATCTCAATTATGTCACAGAATCCTCACAATGTAATGCTAAATGAAAATGATGCAGGCTGGGGCTGGAGAGATGACTTAGTTAAGGGTGTGTGCTGCATTGACAGAGGACCTGAGCTTGATTCCTAGCACTCACATCAGACAGCTCACAACTGTCCGTCCGTAACTCCGGCTGCTGGGGGATCGCTTCTTATCTCCATGGGCACCTGCACTCCAGAGTGTGTGTGCTCATGTGTGTGTGTGCACGCACACACAGAGTTAAAATAAATCTTACCAAAAAAGAGAAGAGAATGCAAGTAATTACTACATAAGCCATTGATTTTTAAGTTTTAGTTTTTCAGTGTGTGGGATGAGGACCCAGTGCATTCTGGGAAAGCATTCTACCATTGAGCTGTGGCCTCATGCCTTACATTGCAGTTTAGTGCTAATGTGGAGCTAACACAGCTGTTCATAGACAGGAAAGCCCTGGGATACTCTGAAGGGTTAACTGTGGGTACCTGGATTGTGTGGTTGAGATTGATTTCTATTTTTTTCTCTGTTTCCCAAGCTTGTATTATATCTGTAATTAGAAAAAGAAAATAAAGAGCTGGTGTGGTGTCTCATACCTGTCATTTCAGCATTTGGAAGGCTGAGACAAGTAGATGGTGAACTTGAGGTTAGCCTAGGCTATATATCAAGATCCTTTCTCAACAGCACTCCCCAAAAAGTTGTTTTTGTTTTTTAATGAAAGGGTTTTGTTTCTTATAAGGAATGAAGCTTCCCCAGAGGCTGAGCTCAGTGACCCCCATATGAATTAACCAGCACCCCCATCACGACCTGCGCACATGGGGGTTTCCTTCCAAGTGGGTCTTTGCTTGTGGTTGCACCCGAGTCCACAGCACATGGCTGAGCCATGGGACAGAAGGGAGTAAAAGAGTCTCTCTCGTGCTGTCCCCCTCAGGGCTGAGGTAAACATGCTGGACAACGGAATCAGTTTCACCCATGAGGGTATCTTCTGGATACTCATGCTACTTTGTGACACTGTGAACTCAAACAAGAGCTTCGAGGATTAGAAAGGTCTGGTTCAGACATGCTAAAGGGTGTTCATTCATTCTAGAAATATTTCTTACATTTTGTGCCAGACAAGGTACCCAGTCCTTCTATGAAGTAGAAGTAGTTCAGTAGTTCAGGTTGCTGACTGATAGGGCTGAGAAGGTGAATTGGAAACTAATGTTTGAAGTTCCTGTAAAACAGTGGAATGTCACTCGACTCTGTTGTAGCTACTTGGTAGGAGGTTGAGGTGACAGATTTCACCGAAGTTGTTTTACTCCCTCCCTCCCTCCCTCCCTCTCTCTCCCTGTCTTCAGATGGAGGTGATTGTTGGGGACTTTGGGATCGTGGTGGTGCCCCGGGATGCAGCTGACACAGACCGAATCATGAATCACTCCTCAATACTCCGCAAATACAAAGTAAGTCTTCCGTCCCCTGCTGCTATGTTCCTGTGGTACAGCCTTCTCCGAAAGTTCTGGGGGACTGGAAGGGTGAGGGAGCAAAAGTAGCTGTCTTAGTTAGGGACACCATGACATTGGCAACTCTTTTTAGTTTTTCGAGACAGGATATCTCTGTGTAGCCTTGGAGGTGTCCTGAAACTCACTCTAGAGACCAGACTGAACTTGAACTCAGAGATCTGCCTGCCTCTGCCTCCTGAGTGCTGGGATTAAAGGCATGCACCACCACCCAGCTTATAGCAACTTTTATAAAGGAAACCATTTAATTGGGGTGGCTTATAGTTCAGAAGTGTAGTCCATTATTGTCCTGGTGGGAAGCAGGGCAGTGTGCAGGCAGACATGGTGCTGGAGAAGGAGCTGAGAGTTCTACATCTTGAGCTGCGGGAAGCAGAAGGAGACTGCATGTCACATCGAGAATAGCTTGAGCATAGGAGACCTCAAAGCCTGCCCCCACAGTGGCACACTTTTACCAACAAGGCCACACTTCCTGATAGTACCACTCCCTATAGTGAGTCTCTGGAGGCCATACCTATTCAAACCACCACAGTAGCCCAAGAGAGGGATTGGTGACCTGTTCTTTCTGCTCTATTTCCAGAACAACATCATGGTAGTGAAGGATGACATCAACCATCCCATGTCTGTAGTCAGCTCCACCAAGAGCAGGTATGGTTGACAATGGGCAGGGGCACTGGCCAAATCGATTTAATTTTTCCATAGCTTTCCTCAGTCAAAGACAACCTGTCTTGGTTAACTTTTCTATTGCTCTGATAAGACACCCTGACCAAGGCTAATAGGAGAAGCTAATAGAAGAAAACATTTGTTTGGGGCTTAGAGTTTCAGCTAAGGAGTCCAAGACCATCATGGTGGGGAGCAGAGCAGCAGGCAGGCAGGTATGGTGTTGGAGCAGTTGCTGAAAGCTCCCATCTTGAGATACCGCCATGAGGCAGAGAGACCTCAAAGCCCACCCCCAGTGACACCCCTCCTCCAACGAGGCCACACCTCCTAATCCTTCCAAACACTTCCACCAACCAGGGACCAAGAAAGGCCTGTGGGAGCCCTTCTCATTCAAACCACTCTTTGGACTTCATATATTTAACCCCGTTTACTTTGTTTTTGTTTTTGTTTGTTTGATTTTTGAGACAGGGTTTCTCTGTGTAGCTCTGGCTGTGCTAGAACTCTCTCTCTGTAGACCAGGCTGGCCTCAAACTCACAGAGATCTGCCTACCTCTGCCTCCCGAATGCTGGGATTAAAGGTGTGCGCCACCACCACCACCACCACCACCTGGCTCCCTGTTTACTTTCAAATGAGGAAACAGTACCCTAACTGGTCTTAGCTGGCTTGAGGGAGGAAGAGGAGTTTTCAGTTGTGGACTCTTAGTTTTGGGGTGCTGAGAAAGTCATGCACTATTAGTTCAAGTATAAGCCAGGCTGCCATTGAATGGGTCTCAGGGTCCAGAGTTTGCAATGAAGCAGCTGTATAGTTCTCACTTACTGAGGTCCAAAGGAGCCGAGTCTGGTCTCTTCAGTCTGAAGCTCCCTGGTTGGGGACATATCTGCTGCCGAGATTGTTCTTAGCCAGTGGGAAAGAACAAGGTGAAGCCACCCAGGCACCATGGATCATATACTCAGATGGTAGATGCAGGAAGATAGAAAAATTCAGTGGCTGCCTGGGCCTCATAGCAAGAACCTACTCAAAAATAAATAAATAGAGACTAGCGGCTGCTCCTCCAGAAGACCCAGATTGGATTCTTAGCACCCACATGTCAACTCATGACCATCTGTAACTACAGTTCCGGGGATCCATTGCCCACTTCGGGCCTCTGCAGGCAGTGTACACATATGATACACAAATGTTTATGTGAGCAAAACACCCATACACATAAAATAAGATTAAATAAATCTTTAAAAAAAATGAGGTAACCCAGAGTTGTAAGTAACCCACTGGCACATGGGTGGAGGAAGGCTGGTAAACACATTTTATTGCTCAGCAGCTACATAGCTAAATAAAACTAAAAGGGGGAGAAATTATTATTAGAGACCATTAACCATCTCCTCCATAAACTCCAAGTGGAAATGTCCTGTGAAATGGTGAGACGTATAGGCCATAGAAGTTTGGAAGTGTAAACCGAGAGCCATGAGCATCTGGGTCGGGTAAAATAAGCTGGCTCAGCTGGTAAAAGGCACCTGCTGGCAAGTCTCACTGCCCAAGTTCAAGCCCCGGAACACACATGGCGGAAAGAGAGAACCAACTCCTAACAGTTGTGTCCTCCGAGTCCCATGCTTACACCGTGGAACACGCACACACTCATACACACACACACTCATACACGCACACACTCATACACACACACACACTCATACACACACGCTAATCAACTAATTGAAACAATGCCAGGTCCAGATGAGCTCACAGTCAAGCAGTGAAGAGAAAACGATAGCAGGAACATGGCAAACTTTCCAGCGTTTCCGTGAAGGCTGAGTTGCAGTTGGAAGTCCCCAACAGGGATGCCTAGTAGCTGAGGAGGAAGAGCACAAATGGACATCATTGCCCTCTGGTCACATGTTTCTGAGAAGTCAAATAAACCAAGGCCTCAAATAGTCTACTGGACTTCTTCCCTTGGAGACAGCGATAGAGACATTCACAGAGTGGCAGCCCCTGGGAGGCTAGGGCAGAAACCATGAACAGTGGGCAAAGACGAGGGCGGGGCCATGATTCCAACATGGCTGTTCCTTAGACTCGGGGACGTTACTCTATGGCCGTTCAAACTCCTGTGTTCCATTTGGTTCAACCAAGCCAGGATTTCCTGGGGTTGGACTCAGGCTTGGCTTCTCCGCCGAGTCTGATGAAGTTGGAACTATTATTGGAGACCACTTTTCGGAATGCTCTGATGCACAGGGAGACACTTCAGGACGCTCCTTGTAAGGTAAAGGCAGGGCTTGCCCTGAAGGCAGAGAGCCAGAAACCGTTCCGGGCTCAGTGACATCCTGAGACTGTTGTATAAGGAACGAGCAGAGAGCAGAAGGCCAGAGGGAAAGTGTGCAGGAATCGATTTGTCCCCGGAACCTTCACCTGTCTCTGTCCCTCGTGGCCAAGCGCTTCTGCGAGGGGATAAGGTGAACTCAAGCTGAAGAATCCTCTAAGAGACCAATTTTCATGAGACCAGCGTGCAGGCAAACCCAAACAGATAAACGAAGAGTTCTTAAAAATACACGAAATGTTTATTAAAAGAGAAAACTAGGAAAGCTAAAATGTCAACCCTATACCTGACGTGACTCATTTGATCCTCTAAATAATTGGATGTAACTCACTCAAATGTTACCTTAATTGTACGGAAGGAAAAACAGAAGAAAAAGGCTTAACTAACTTGCCTGATGGGCCAGTGAGATGCCTCTGTGGGGAAAGGAGCTTGCCCCCAAGGTTGACGACCTGAGTTCGATCCTCAGGACCCACCTGGCAAAGGACAGAACTGAGTTCCACATATTGCCCTCTGGTCTCCACACATTTGCTATGGCACATGTATACACACACACACACACACACACACACACACACACACACACGAAGTAAATAAATGTAAAAGAAAACAACGTTCCCAAAGTCTCTCTACTCGGAGGCAGGACAAGATGAAGATGTCACTGGGAGTGGAGGGACAGTCTGTGCGGGGATGAGGATCTTGCCAATCCTGTTCACTCAACCCAGGCAAAGGCTGCTGGCAGGGTGCTGGGGGGGGGCACCTGTAGACCCTTTCCTGAAAGCAGAGGGCAGACCAGGGCGGTGTACTTTCTTGGGCATGGGTGTCCACCTGACTGCTGTTCCTTCTCCTGCAGGCTGGCCCTGCAGCATGGGGACGGCCATGTCGTGGATTACCTGTCCCAGCCAGTCATCGACTACATCCTCAAGAGCCAGCTGTACATCAACGCCTCGGGCTAGCGACACCCGGCTCTCTCCTCGCCCCTCGTCCTCTGCCGACACACTGGCCCCTCCAGCCACTGTCAGACCCCATTTTCTCTCTGCCTCTGTTTCTCTGTCCTCATCTTGACTGTTCTCCCCACTGGCTGACTTAACCCCCACAGTGTGGGGGGCCTGCGAAGAACCGTGATTTCCCATTCCACAGTCGTCTTTGGATAAACTTTTCCTCTAGTCTGCGGGTCGGGGGTGGGTAAGGGAACAGGGTGGGAGTTGGGGGGAGTGCAGCCCTTGGAGACGTACTGGTGTCCGTCTCCCAGCATGCTCTAGAGAGGCGACTCTGGTGCCCATTCTCCCAGCATGCTCTGGGGACGGGGGTCAGGCTCTCGCCTTCCCAGCATGCCCTTTACCACAAAGGGCTATTTTCCTTTATTTCATTCCCTTTGTCCACTTCTTGTAGAACTTGGATGGAATCAGTGTGTGTGGTTTTTATGTTTGTAGTCTTGATGCTGTCCTGTGGGTCACTTCCCTCCTGACAGGACACGATAGCCAGTCTCAGTACACAAAGTGCGTGAGGGCCACACCCAGGAAAGAAGGCGGAGCCGCTTCTGCTTCTTCAACACACATGCATGCATGCACAAAGTCAGACACACACACACACACACACACACACACACACACACACACACACACACCAGCAACAACCCCAGACCCCCTTTGGTCAGGAATAAGACTCTCAGGTTCTGAAACCTGGCACACAAGTCTGGGAAGAGTACGACTTCTCAGAATTTGAGTCCCTGGTTTCAGATGACCATGGTCCTGATGCTCTGTGTCTGACTGGTGGCATTGTGTGGGTTCGCTGCCAACCAGGCATTTCCAGAGAGCAAAAGCCCTTAGGGGCCATGGTAAGGTGTGTTCCTGCCCGTGAGAGGAATCTCAGGCGAGACCAAGAGCTGATAATCCATTCATTTCTTTTGAAAACACGGTAAGAATCACTTGACCATAGAGAGTCTTTGCTAATTGGGACTATTTATTGCCTGTTTGGCTAGGAATGCAATTTGTTGCCCTGAGGAGAATTCATGATCCCCACCCACTCAACCTGAGGTTGCCCAGCAGTGCCCAACCAAGGTCCCTTCTTTCCTGGAAAGCGATCACCCTTGTTCCTGAGCTGGCCCATTGGTCTCTGCAGAGCCCAGCAGCAGCTAATGCCCTAGGAGGTCTGCTTGACAAGAGCGGACTCACAACAGAGCTGTCCACCCCGCCCCCCATTTCTCCTCACTGTCCACCCCTTCTCTCTACCTCTGAAGACAGTTGGGCACTCATACCCTGCCTGGAGAGCTAGTAGGAGATGGCTTGTATGTTTTGTGTGTCCCATCCAGTCTCTAGCTCTTGGGTTTCTGGCTGTTCACGGGGAATGGCTCCTGGGTACGAGGCTACTTTTAACTTCTAACATGAACATGGCCCAGGTGGGACTGAACAGGGGTGATAGTTTTTACGTCACGTTCCACCGTCCTCAGCTGACTCCAAGAGAAAGAAGTGAGTCCACAAGCTGATAGAGTAGCCCCTAAGCTGTCATTCTCAGGCTGTAGAAATGATCTCCAGAGGGAAGAGATCGTTTCTATAATCTAGAGGTCCAATGTTTGGCTAAAAGTCGTGGAAAAACTGACAGAGAAAACCTGGAGAACCCATTTGCTCCCGGGGTCTTTGAAATCAAGGGAGCAGAAACCCTGGGGAGTCAGTGTCTGGTCCAGGACCATGCAGCACATCCTGGGAAGCCTGATGAGAGGATGTTGTTTCCCCGAGACGAGAGAAAACGAGGAGACGGGCTGCCTGGGGAAACGTGGCGTTTGCAAGCCTCCGGAGCTGACGAGGGTCCACAGAAGCAGACCCAAGAAAGACTACTTTTCTCTCATTCCTTTGGGTCACCGTGTTCCCCCTCTGGACTCTGGTCATTTACTCCACAGCCTGAGATAAGGACCCAGGCTAGCCCAGCCCCCTCAGGGCAACAGGCAGGTAGGAGCCGGGAAGGAAAGGGAGGTGAGCTGAGAGGACAGATGCAGAAGTGGGCTTCTGAGAAGCAGGTGGCCAGATTGTATCTTGGGTGTGTAAAAACGGCTTCCCTTTAACAAACACAAGCGAGTCCCCTTCCAGGTGGAATCGTCCATTCGCTTCCCTGTCTCTTTCTCCTTTGGTTGGCCCAAAGGTAAAGCCACACCCACCCCTCCCTCCCATGCAGAATATCGCTGTGTGACTGCGGCTGTGACCTGCCCCAGCCAAGATAGTTTTAAGTGGTGCCTCGCATGTCCTCAGGATAGCCTTTGGGCTCTGACTTGTCTTTGGGGGATCTGCGGCTCCCTGTGAAGGCTAGCCAGCCTGTTACTAGCATGGCCCCAAGATGCTGATGAAGGCACAGACTGGAACGATCTGTCAGTGAAAAAAATGTCCCTGCCATTTTTTTAGAAAGAGGTTGATAGATGGGCAGGACTTTAATAAGTCTCTCCTCCAGGGATGGGGCTGGGGGGACCCTGGGTTTCTAGTCTGTCACACTCCCAATCCCAGGTAGCCTCTGGGCCCCTGGCTTTCATTTTCTTTGAATGTACATTGAGCCAGCAAACGGAATCTCTTCTTGAAGTGCCTGAAATCACAGCTGAAGTTTCCAGAGACACTGCTCTTCCTATTTTGGCTTGGCCACATGTTTTAGTCTCAATTTCAGGATCTCTGAAAGAACTCACGACCTTGCTATTCAAGTAAGTAGAGAGGATAATCGAACTGCATCAAAAGCCGGAGGAATACAGAGAGCCCAAACCCTGTTCCTCACTCCAGTATTCTCACACACACTTTTAGGGGACTAAGAGAAGCATGCCCGTGGTTTTGTTTTTGTTTTTGTTTTTTTTTAATAGAATAGAAATGCAATGCCAGGTGTGGTGGCCCATACGTGTGATCCCAACACTGAGAGGTAGAGGCTGGAGGATCAGGAGTTCAAGCCCAGCCGCTGGACATATAAGACCTTGTCTCAAAACAAAAACAGCAATGTAAAAACAGTCCACGAAAAGCCCAGAATCTCTCCCAGGGTTACAGCAAGAGAGGCATTCAAAGGATGGAGATGGGCTGATTTTGTAGCTGATGTAATTAAGACACCGTAGAGCTAGCCTGTGGTAACGAGGAGGGTGTGCTCTGCCAGGCTGATGACCCACACCTTCCTGTGAGCTGAGTGGTAAACTCAACTCCTTATGTGGTTTCTGTGTAGTATGAGTTTGGAAGTGTCCTAGTAGCCTGTTCCAGTTAGTTAGAAATGAGTTGCAGTCTTTCTCACCTCCTTTGGTGGAGTCCCAAAGCCCTCAGCTTGATCCTCGTGGGGTTGGAATGGGGAGGAGGAAGCATTTTTTTTTTAATCATATTATCTGCTGATTTAAGAGTGAGATTTACTTTATGGAAATCAACTCATTAATAAAAACTCCAAGTTGCAATACCATTTCACAGTGAAATATTTTTGAGTAGTAGAGTTTTGTTGCTAGAATAGTCATGGGCAAGAGTTTTATCAGCAAAATGTTTCAATTATGTTAATAAACCAGACAATGCTACCAGTGTCTTGTGTCTTTGTCCAGAACCTTCTCTGTGAGTCGCTCTGAGAAGTCATCACTTTTTCTTCCTTCTGTTACTTGGTGGGGAATGACAGTTGTAAAAATATGCTCAGAGTAAGTGATGTTCTGCCTAGTCTGGCTGAAGTCACACTGCGGTGTAAACCAGAGGGGTTGATGGATAACGGCACTCGCTGTCACCCCTGACAATCTGCGTTTAGTCCCTGGAATCCTCCTGACTGAAGGAGAGAGCCAATGGCACTAGGTTGTTCTCTGATCTCCACAGGTCCACTGTGGCACACACAGCCTCCTCCAACAAATCAAAAGTCAACCTAGGCTACATAGGGCATTCATTCATTCATTCATTCATTCTCTCTCTCTCTTTCTCTCTCTCTCTCTCCTCTCTCTCTCTGTCTCTCTCTCTCTCTACAACATACCACCACCACCACCACCACCACTACCATCACCACCATCGTCACCATCATCTCCACACTCAAGAATGCAGAAAGGATAATTTGCAAATTTGTAAATTGTTGCTCAGTTTTCTCCATTTAAGGAAAGCAAACCTTACAGAGCAGAGAGGTGGATGGCTCATCAGTTGAGTGCTGATGCTCTCGGAGAGGACCGGGGTTCAGTTCGCCGTACCTGCATGGTGGCTCACAGCCGTCTACCTCCAGTTCCTGATATCCAATGCCTTATTCTGGCCTCCGTGGTCACTGTGTTCACGTGGTACATGTGAACTCATCTCCACATATGCACATTAAAAAAAAAAAATTAAACCTAAGCTCCTGACCAGCCCACATGCTCCACTCTTGGTTAATTTCAGTCATTGGTTTGAAATCTTTCAAGACAAAGTCTTCTGTAGTCCAGACTGGTCTCCAGCTTGCTTTGTTGCTAAGGATAACTGTGAGTTCCTGGTCCTCTTGACTCCATCTCCCAAGTGCTGGGATTCTAGTGGTGTGCTAACATGACTGGCAATTGGGGCTCTTTAATAAAATTATGGAGAAAAAATATATACATAGGTATGAAGATTAAAAAGCTTAGAATTTTGGCATGAAAGATCTCCACTAAGGAATGGTCAAGCTCCCGATTTCTTTTGGCAGCATAAAGAAGCAAAACTGAATGATTTGTTAGTTGCTGGCTCCTGCTGTGACCTTTGACCCTCTTATTTCCTTTTTATGGCATGTCTAGCTGGGCTGGCCTGAGCACTGGTCATTAGTCATTGTTACCCAACCATCAGCTATGACTCAGAAGGTGAAATAATACTTCCCTGCCCCAAGTCAAGGGTTACATACTTGCCAGATTCATTTCGTTCTGTTCTGTGATCATTTTGATTTTGGGATTCTTAGATCTCCTCCTCTGCTTCCTCCTCCCTACCCTCCTCCTCCCCCCACCTCCTCCTCTTCCTCCTCGAACTGAGAATAACCCGATTTGTGTGTATCCACGTGGGATTTCATGGCATACCTTAGGGAAGCTTGATACACCTTGTAAATTGGTTGTGTTTATATTTGCTGTTTTGTTCACAAAGCTAACCGCAGCACCTCCCTCACCCTGAGTGCTTAACGATGAGTGTGTTTAAAATTAAATATAAATATTGGTTTAATTTGCTATCTTATACCAATATACATATATATATATATATATATATGAAATACAAAGTAACAATCATATGCATTTCTTTCCTTATGTCCCATCATGAAGCTTTGTATTTCAGAATTTCCCAAGAAGTTCTGTGTGGCCAACAGTATAAAGTAAGTGGAGAGAAAGTCTACTATTTTCCAAGTGGGAAAATTAAAACACAGTACAGACCCATAACATTCCCATGACCGTACAAAACATTAAAAGAAGACATGATAAACACAGTCATGGTCCTTGAGATTTGTTCTAAACAGTGGACAGGGCTGAGCATCCTTGGACCCTTTTCTCTGGCCTCCTTAGAGTCCTAGAAAGAAACCACATCCTGGGACAACAGCAGATCTCCATCTGCTAAGGAATCAGCATCTGTGGGCAGCTTCATGTCTGCTGCTCTCTCATCTGCTATGAGCCACAGTAGATAAGGCTGTGTGGAATAGTCTACCAAGAGTACCATTACCAGAAAATGCCCAGGAGAGACATACAAGAAGGCCTTCGTGAATAATGATAAGAAACTAGAAACAAAATGTTCTTTTCACTGGCCGGGTCAGGTCAAGATGAGCCCTAGGCTTAGAGAAGGCTACTTCTCAGCCATAGCTTTTCTTCTCCTTCGGGTCAGTTTTCCAGGTCCTCAGAAATGAGGATGTCATTTCTCCTTCAGCAGTTCCAACAGCCGCTTCTCGCTACCCATCTCTACTGAGATCCCTGCCATTTGTGACAAGAAAGACATCCTTATAACTTTTTTTTTTTTGAGACATGGTCTCAGGTATCCCAGGCTAGCCTCAAATTCACTATGTAGCCAAGGATGATCATTATTGACCCTCTGCCTCTACCTTCAGCGTCCTGGGATTTCAGCTGTGTGGTCACACTCTGGTTTCTGTGGTGTTGGGGACTGGATCCTGCTCATTTTTCATGCTAGGCAGGAACTCCATCCCCACCCTAATTCTCATAAGTTTCTTAGCCACCCACCTGGTGGGGAATTGTGATTGCAGAGGCATAGTCAAGCCAACAATGTGTACTCCCTTTTCAGAGTGTAGAACTGTCACAGAAAAATGGCTTCAAGGAACCCCTGCAAATTATAACATGGGCTCGGGAAACTAGAGCGTAAGGTTTTCCCATCCTGGCTTACAAAGGCTCCCCAGGTGTGTCCCTTCTGTTCCTTGGCTTCCTCCTCCTCCCAAGGCAGCTTTAGAAGTCACATATTATAAATGACAGGGCTTAAATTACGACAGGAAGTTTGTCGGCTGTGGAACCGAGCATGACAAGATAGAATTATCAGACTACATTCACAAACGGCCAAGCTGTCAGACCTCTCAGAACTTAGGAGTCACTGTGGACAAAAGCAGAATCCTTGTATCAGCCCCCTGGGTAAAAGCCAATTCAGACCTTAACTTACTGAACTGTAATCTATTGGAAGGTGTTACATATACACCACCAACTACAGATTCTACCTTTATTTTGTAGTAGATGAAAAAGACAAGAATATTAATTATAGCCTCCACCCAGTGTGGGTTTTTCTAGAGATAATTCTTCATGCTTAGGAACCATCATCATCTAAATATTCTGAAATGCTCTCATAGTTGGAAAGGAAAGTGGGTCCCTCAGAATCGAACATGCTAACTCCAGGGCCGTCAGCATCAGGATGGCATGTTCTCTCCCATTGCTCTGGTGCTTCATTCCCAGACTAAGAGTTGAATAAAACCAGAAACTCGTCCCCAGCATCTAACGCTCCTTTATTTAACACACATCCATGAGAAGATGAGGAACTGCAGACATGAAACAGTACAGAAGTCTTCCGAGCTGAGGCCCAAGTGCATCTGGTTCCTTTGGCGATTCCCACTGGTATTGCCATGATGCAACGGTCTGTTGCAATAGTCTGTTGTGGGAAGGGGTGGAGGGGCGGCTGGAACACAGAAAAGTGTATACAACTCAAAACAATTTCAGCTTTGCCCTGACTCAAGTACCCCCGTGGGGCTGTCTTGCAACACATGCTCTACTGAGCGATGTTTCAAGCTGAGGGGTGACTGCAATAAATATCACTTGAGATGAACAAGGCTTAGGAGTTTCCATTTATTAGTTTTAGTGTTTGTCCTTCTCACTAGATAGTCAGCTCCATGAGGGTAGATAATGTCAGTACTGTTCCACTCACCCCTGGCACATAGTAGGAACTCAATAAATATATGTTAGAAGGATGGATTAACCCTGATTTAGGGAGAGAGAGAAAAAAAATAAAATAAAATATACAGATGTATAGGAATTTTAGTGTTTGCAAAGGAGGATTGGATTAAGATTAATGTATCTTTTAGACAATTCCACTTCCTTTAATGCCCAAGACACATTTTCTTACATCACTTTGAAACTCAAAGGAAATACGTTCCAGGTGATTGCTTGGCTGGTAAGAGATGCTTCCATAAAAATGCCGTCTCTAAGTTATTCTGGCATCATTAGGAGAAGGATGTCACACTCAGGCCAAGAGCGTGAAGGTGAGAGGGTGGCAGCAGAGACTGTTGTTCCAAATGGGCCAGATTTCCAGGTCCTATGCCCAGCCCTGCCCACTGCACTCAGCTTGAAAGTAGAGGGCACACTCTACTGGGTGGGCAATGGAGGAAATCCGGTCAACAAAAATTTGCAGTGGGTGAAGCAAGAGTACTTTCCCGGCCATAATGTTAGATTAGATATCTTGTCCTGACATACTTGCAGCAGCACTTTGTATATTCCAGGTCTCTGTTGATGACTGTTCTGAGGTCAACATTTGTTGGTCAGCTGGTCCTTGATCAGTCTCATTCCCAGTGCTACCTGCCCCATTGCCAGCACCAGGAAGCAAACAGTACCAGATTGGTACAGGAAGACATCCATCTACCCATAGTCTCAGGGATGGAATCGGGTCCAACAGACCTGAACAAACCCATTAAACATGCTCAAACGTCCTCAGTCCGTCCCATCCACATGAGATGGCTCCCGATCCCTGAGGTCTGTGTCCCAAGAACCTCGGTGGACAAATTTCTATGGCAGCTTCATTGTTGCTCCAGAGCCTGGGTATTATAGCATCCTGGGGGCAGGTTGTCTCGAATATTCTCCAGGTTCTTCACATCGGCCAGAATCCCATCTATGCTTGTCTCCAGCAAATGGAGGTGGTTCTTCTGTCGACGTGCCCTCTCCTCCAACTCAGACATCAGGGGCCGCAGTCGACTGTTGATCTGGGTCTTGGCTTGGAAAAGCTCTTCTTCCAATAGCATCAGCCCCTCTTCATCCACACTGCCAGGCTGGTCTATGTTAGGGGACAAGAAAGGTGGGTGTTAATAGAGAAAAGCTGTGGTGAGTTCTTGAGGAACCCTTGATTCCGCCTGCCCAGAGAAAACACCATGCCATATATTGAAATGGTTTTACTTTAAATGAGGAATAATGTAGAAGTCTGAGCATACTCGGCATGCATGTGTGCTATGGACAACCTAGTTCAAGACTGAGCTCTGTCACGCAGCCAGTGAAGTCTGGAGCTCTATCTGGTTGAAACAACAGATCGTGCTCTGAGAGGAGAAGGCTAAAGGTCACAGGGGTCTGAGAACTGTCCAAGGTAACTGCCTAACACAGCTCACCCCTGGGAACCGAACGAACTCCAAACATGCTTTCTATCACCCCGAGGAAATAGCTTATTTTCTATTAAGAGACCTTTAGAAACTGGCTGAGCTTCAGGGTTTACAGAGGCCAAGGTACGCTTAGCTGTTTGGGGGATGGATGCCAGCTGTTAGAGAATGATGTAAGACTTCATTCTAGCTTGAAACAGTAGGGATCTGGCTAGGTATCTATTTATTTCCAATGGCAAATGCCACTGCATTTATTCAGGTGTATTTTACCCAGACACTTCATAAAACCTATGTTAATGTGAGGGCACTGGCCATATACATGTAGTTCAAGTAGATTCGAGCAGCTCACAGTGAATTCACACTCAAGGTCAGGTCGCCTTACATATCTGAGCTGTAGTGATGAGATTTGTTTCCTCATTATTCATTTATTTATTTATTTTTGTTTTTTGGTTTTTCAAGACAAGGTTTCTCTGTATAGCTTTGGCACCTTTCCTGGATCTCACTCTGTAGCCCAGGGTGGCCTCAGACTCACAGAGATCCGCCTGCCTCTGCCTCCCGAGTGCTGGGATTAAAGGCGTGCACCACCACCGCCTGGCTTCATAATATTTTTATTAAATTTATTTATTTATTTGTGTGTCTGTCTGTCTGCACATGCCACAGCACATGTGTAAAGGTCAGGGGAAAACTTATGAGAGTCAATTTCCTCAAGCCCGTTGCTAGTTTTTGAATGCATGATCTTATTATACATTATATTTATAATACTTAATGAATTATCATCCCGAGACTCAAGAGCATGCCTAGAGTGGAAATTATACCCCAATGAAAGGTTTGACGCAATGGACCCTTCAGGGCAAAATTCACGATCAGGGGTTCTGTGGCAAGCACAGAAAGTAAGCATGGGTACAAAACAGCGTGTTCAGGGGAAGCCGAATCCAAGGAAGGAGCAGAAACACAGGCGTCACAGGTCACAGCATGAGCCCTGGCCAGCAGTCTGCTGGGTGCCACGCAGCCTCGGGTCATCCCTCTGGGAAGCAAGAGAATAAAATCCATCTCCCAGAATGCTTGCAAGATTTATTTATTTACTTATTTATTTATTGGTTTTTGGTTCTGCCATGAGCACTCCTGGCACATGTAGTAAATGTGTACAGTAGTGTAGTAACTGTCAACAGTTCCTACCCCTCCCTCTCCCACTCACTCTCCCTTTAAAGGCTCCATTAATTTCATTGCCCTTTTAGAATGCTAAGTAATGCTGCCAAAATCTCAGCAAGGGAGACGATGCTTTTTTGTTTGTTGTTTTTTTATTTGTTTGTTTGTTTTGTTTTTGAGACAAGGTTTCTCTGTGTAGCCCTGGCTGTCCTGGAACTAGCTCTGTAGACCAGGCTGGCCTCAAACTCACAGAGATCCGCCTGCCTCTGCCTCCCAAGTGCTGGGATTAAAGGCGTGCGCCTCCACCGCCTGGCTGAGACTGTATTTTTAACCTGTAGAGGATATTTTACTGTCCCGCGGCTCACTGGATCACAAACAGACCTGGTAGTGTGACAACACAGACAATACTGGTCTCTCAGTGTGATGATAATCCCACAGAGCTGTCAGGTGTTGGAGCTGTTCTACTGAACTGCTGAGGCAGAGCAGGCTTCTGGGTGTCCTGGGAAGGTGTGACCCAGGTCCTATTCCCTGTCCACTGCCATCTCCATGCACGAGAGCTCCCTGTTCACTATTTCAGACTTGAAATTTAAAAAAGTGTGTGTGTGTGTGTGTGTGTGTGTGTGTGTGTGTGTGTGTGTGTGTGTGTGTGCAGGTGCCTGTGGAAGCTAGAGAGGGTATCAGATGCCCCTGGAGTGGATACACATGGTTGTGTGCTGCCCAGTATGGGTACCAGGAACCAAAATGGGATCCTCTGGAAGAATGAACAGCAAGTGTTGTTAGACAACAAGTCATCTCTCCAGCCTCCAGATTCAGACTTTTCATTAATACCAGTTTCCTTTGGGGGAGTGACTATGGGAAAGCCCGATTTCTTGCCACACTGTACTGGTAAATCTATTCTATCTAAAGTTCCTAGTATCTCGTAGACCGGGATGTTTACTCAGGAAGCCCTTGTCTCCCCTCTTGGTCATAGCAGGGATAGATTTGGTTTGGGGAGGACCAGACAGCAGAATCAGCAGATGGTCCTTCAGACTCGGGAGTCCTTTCCTCCACACCTTTCCCTCCCTTCTACGGCCTCAGGGCTGGCTCCGTCATCTTGTTCTGCTTTCAACAGTTAGTTCCCCAGATGTCTTCCCAGGCTCTGTCTAAGTTCTCCTCCCTAGAGCAGTGATGATGCTACTCTCCTGCTTAAAACTGCCCAGGGAGCCCCTCAGAATCAAGACAAGACTCCTTAGCGGGACCCCCAAGCTGGCCAGTCTTCTGGGAAGTCCCTGGAACACCCCCAGTTCTCTGACTCACAGAGCTTCTCTTCCAGATACAACAAGTGTTCAGTGACTCATCTTGGAGATGGTAAAACAGAAAATGTAAAGCAACCCAGCCCAAGTGGCTGGGCCCTGAAACAAAGCAGATTTCCAGATGTTCTTAGGGAAAATTGAGTTCCCTATCCATCAGGACTAAGACTATCTAGTCTTCTGGGGACAGTCCCTGGGCTGGAAGGGCTGTGGATGTTGCACAGACCTATTAGGTGTAGGATGCTGTCCAATGTGTCGAGCGTGTCTTGGATGGTCACTCCGGCGCTCTTAGCTCTGGCATCAGCTTGCTGGGCTTCCGTCATCACCTGCAAGGGAGCACAAAGGTGTCCTGAGAGGTTACTTTTGTCTGGGCAATTGTAAAGAGAGCGCTTGTGGGAAGGAACAGTCACTCACCAGCTGCACTGTGTCTTTATCCGTGTCAAACTCCAGCTCCTTCCTGGCCAGGTCCCCTTCCACCTCTCTCATCTCGCTCTTGAGAGTGGCCAGTCCCTTTTCCATGGCCAAGGCCCCATCTGCTGTCATGTTGGCCTCCAAGTTCAGACTCCCTATCTCCTGGGAGAATAAAAGGAGCCAGGGACGGAAGGAGAGACAGGGTGAGGCTCAAAACATCCCAAGGACAGTTGTAGAAAAAATACAGCTGCAGCCTGGCTCAGATGGAGTCAGTCAGATGAACAATGGGAGAGTCAGACTTGGGAACACACCCTTCCCCAGGCCGAGCCTCAAGTGAGCTAGTGCTAGGCTAACTCTCTAGAGACCAGGAGGGTCTGTGCAGAGACACGGCTCCCTTTCAGTTCAATGCCTAGAAAATTTTGAACACAGTCAGGAGGCATTTGAGAAAATCCAGGGGACAAGAAGCATGGTAGTATGTCATGGTCCTTGGCTGCTCTGGTCTTTGAAACAACTTTACAAGGATTTCCCCAAGACAGCTGTGCTTGGAATGCAGACAATGAATCAGCCAGAGTGGTGGATTTTTGTCTTTGCAAGGAAAAAAGCTCAGCAATACCTTTCATTAATAAGCTTTAATTAAACAAGGGCAGGCACTTTTATGCTAGATGCTATAAAAAGAAAGGTACAGCTGGGTGGTGGTGGTGGTAACATATACCTCAGCACTTGGGAGGCAGAGGCAGGTGGATCTCTGAATTTAAGGTCAGCCTGGTCTACAGAGTGAGTTCCAGGACAGCCAGGGCTACACAGAGAAACCCTGTCTTGAAAAACCAACCAACCAACAAGCAAACAGAACGAAAGAAAAGGTACATGAAATAGGCCTCAAGGGAAATTATTGGAGATTATCTTTGTAGGTTACCAAGCAGTCTGAAAGTGAGGTCAAATAGTCTAGATACCAAGAGCTCCCTCTGGGCTTTCTGGAGTGGCACAAGCTCTCTGGAAGTCGTGCTTAGGTAAGGGCTCTCTTCCAGCCAAGAAGCATTTTTCCACTGTAGCTTGTAACACGGGCTCTAAGCATAGCGCAGCTGGCTACGCCAATGACCCAATTACAAGTGCTCCTTCAAGGAAGGGCCGGATTCCTTATCTCCGTTCCCAGCAGCCATCCTGCTCAGTGGAGGACACAGTCAAGTAAGGAGGCCGAGCTCAGATAAAGGTCATAAAGGCTCTAGAGCTCCAGGATTTCATATAGAGAATCAAAATACGTATGGTAATTTTTTTTTGTTTGTTTGTTTTTCGAGACAGGGTTTCTCTGTGTAGCTTTGCGCCTTTCCTGGGACTTGCTTTGGAGACCAGGCTGGCCTCGAACTCACAGAGACGTATGGTAATTTTCCAAGTTAAATTTAGCACCCTGAAACAGATGTCGGAGTCCTAAGGGCTATGGATGATGTTCATCCATAGAAAGCTTACCAGTGTGAACAAAGAGTCTTTCTCCCTTTCCACGTCCCTCCCGCTCAGAAGATGGCCTTACTTGAAAACTGCTACAGGTGTGCTTAGCTACAATGAGTTATACTGGAATGCATGTGGAGGGCCCTAATTCAGCATGATTGACTGAGAGATGAACACCCTGGCCAGCCTGGGCTATATAGTGAGACCATGTCTTCAAGAAGATGAAGAAGAGGGAGAGGGGGGTGGGAGAAAGAGGAGGAAGGAAGGAAAGGGAGGGGGAAGGACAAGATGACCGAGGACTGACTCTCGGGACCACACAGCAGGGAGTGGACTGATGGAGCTGGGGATCAAGGAAGCCCAAGGATGACTTCCATCCCCAGAAGCAAGCTGGGAAGAGGACAGGAACAATCCTCCCTGGGGCCATAGAGGAGTGGAGCACACCGACTCTAATTTCACATCCTAGCCTCCAGAATGGTGAGAAAGTCCTTTCTGTTTTTTCAAAGCATTTTCTAACAGCAGCCTTAGAAAGCTCCACAGTAAGCAACTGTGGACGGTTCCTCACGGTGCTGTCCAAAGGGGGAGCTGAATATGGTGTATTAGCTGGTAGCCAGAGATCGAATCCATCCAGCTGAAGGGTGGCCACGTGGAGTGGGGCTGCTGTGGACTGTCTCGGACTCTGAGCCATAGGGGTTGGCCTGAGCTAAAGCGCTCTCTCTCCAGAGCCTCGCTGTGTCAGGCACTGCCTGTGACAGCCTGTCTCTCCATTTTTCTTCACCTGTTCTATCTCGCTGCTGATCTCCAGGGCCTCCCCAGCTGCCTTCTTAGCCCTCTGGGTATCGGCAGCGGCACTCCCCAGGGCCGCTTCTGCTTGCTGGGTCTTGTCACTGGCGTCTGCAACCTTCTGGCTAATATGGGAGAGTCTCTTCATGGCCTCTTCAGCCTCTGCTTTTCTGTCTTCAACCTGGAGATCAAACTCTGAAATGAAGAAAAAAGAAAAAAAAAATATTGCTACAGAGACAAAGACTATAAGTTACAACTGAATGGGAGAGCTTGAAGTTTTGAGGAAAAATTCCTGAAAGGGGATAATTACTGGCTAGGGGTGGAGATGTGAGATGTGGCTGGTATTACTCTCTTTCCCCAGAGAAAGAAACTCAAAAGAGCCATCGTGGAGCCACTGACAGCCTGTCCTGGGTCTCCACCACTGCATAGGACATCAACACCCAAACTCGACACCAAGCAGGTGAAGCCCCAAAGCCCAAGAGCAATAACCAGAGCTGGGGTATGGTCACAGAGTTGGGTATGGTCACAGAGCTGGGGTGTGGTCACAGAGCTGGGGTGTGGTCACAGAGCTGGGGTGGTCACAGTAGATACAGACTTGAGATGCTTCTCTTTTGTTTGTTAGTGAATAATGCTGCAATTTTAGCCAAATGTCGTCAGGGCACATCCCAAATTCCCTGAGAACCACATGTCACTACCCCAGAGCAACCATATTGGAACCGACCAGGCCACCCAAGAAAAGGAAAATACCAACTCAACAGTGACATATTGGATGTGGAGGACCTTAGAGATCTCCTGTTCCCCTTAAGGAAGACATAGAAATCTAAAAAGGCTATGTGACTTGCTTATGGTCACATAGAGAGCTTGACCTCATCATAGGGCCCAATAAGGATCAGAATTCAGGACTTCAGATACATAAGGTGAATCACGTCCATTACCTTCATCAAGTATTAATGAGATCATCCTTACCTTAGAAAGAGAGTGACTAAGCATCTATTAATAACCAATACACCCACCACTTAAGGAGAGAAATGAGGATTTAAATGAATCATAAATGTACCTTTAAAAAAAACGCCAACCTGGACCACATGGCACTAACCTCTGAGGTTCTTCAGGATATTCTCAACTTCATAAAAAGTGGCATTGCCTGTACTCAGTGCTTCTTGGGCTCTGCTTTTAGCAAGGTTGGCACGGGAAAGCAGCTGGTCTGATGTCTGTAAATAGAACAAGATTAGAATAAGTGCATTCCTGCTAGCAAACTCACCCTGACACAGTCTCTCCGTGACAACAGAGTGCTGTGACTCACCACAGTCTGAGGGTGCTACAGCAAAGCCCTCCACAATCTAAGCAGGGACAAACTTTGTAAGTCAACAGTATACGCCTTTTAGAGCAGAATTTCCGACTCTTATCCAGCATCAGGGGTGGGAATAATTTTGCAAATCACAATTTTAAACACTAGATACTTCTTGAAACCAAGATAGTAGACAGACTTGGACCAAAACGAGACACGGAAGGCCTGGGTCCTCTTCCAGGGTTCAAATGCTGACTCAGTGGGTGAGGCGAATTCCATCAGGACGCCGATCTCAGCTCCTCACTCTGTAACCAGGGGCACCATGACCTTCGGAGGGTTTCTGGTAGGGGCCCTGACCATTTGACTCACACAGACGGCATCTAGTACATGCTTACTGACTGAGTGAATGGGTTCACAGAGCGTACCTGTCTCCGGTCCTTCCCAGTCTGTAAAAGCTGCTCTGTCTCTTTTTCCCAGGTCCCCAGATTGTTTCGCACACGTGTGAAGGCGTCCATTTGTCCTGTCACCAGGTTGGAGAGAGAATCGGCTTTTTGTCTGATCCTCTTTGCTTCTACCTGTGGGCACAAAGATCTGACTGAGTCTGACTGCACACAAGTTAGTTACCACACTAGCTTCGGGACCCAGCCACCATTTGGTAACAGTGCCAGACTTGAGCAAGAGAGCAGACATTGCCCCCAAAGCCCAGAGCCAACCAGCAATGAGATAGGGTGCCAAAAAAAAAAAGACAGTCAGTAGGTCTCCCAAGAATACAGTAAGTTTTGTCTCTGCTCTTTAATTTTTTAAACAATTGCTCTGTCTGTTCACAAAACATGTCTCTGTGGGGACCACTGTGAGTGACGTTAGCTGTAAGTGTGCAGATGAACGTAATCCAAGGAGGCTGCAATAGCTAAGACTGATGTAGGAAAAAAGCAAGCCTTTTGACAGCAGAAGTCTTCTTGCTAGCAGTATAGAGGAATGCATCCAACTCCATAGTAATTGCCCACTGGCTTCAATTCGAGGGTCCCCAGACCTGGGGAGGAAATATAAAACTTTTCTCTACTAACAGGTTCAAGATCAAACATCAAGTCCCTTTCCCTTTTGGAGTCTAGGACTGGAGTCAAGAACAGAAAATAGATAATGAGAAGCATCCACACTTTTTTTTTAGCACAAAGCAAAAAGTTGATGCTATGGTTTAAACAGGGGTCATCACCCACACATTAAGCATCTGGTTGACATGGGGTGCTAGTGGGGTTATGTGAAGCCTTTCTGGGGGTAATAGGAGGTCCTCAAAAGGACTGTGCACACTTGCTTATCTTTTCCTCTGTCCTTTGGAGAGGGTCTTCTGACACTCTTGCAGGCACTATCCCTTTAAATGTCTGAAACAGTCAGCGGAAGAAACCCTTTCTCCTAATAAGTCGGTGGCCCCAGCTAGTGCATTATAGTACCGTGATGCTGTCACGTGATGCTAACACAGTCAATGTGGAGAAGAAGATGAATGGTTGAACAATCTTATGAAACCCCTAGAGAAGAAAGGGATTTTACGGCTGTTTGTCTGTGGGTCACGCACACAGGATCAGTGGCCTCACCTGGAAGGACAGATCATGGATTCCCTGCAGCTGAGATGCTGAATCCAGGAGTCGGAGACTGTGTTGATAAGACCTATCTGCGTCAATACCAGCTTGAGTGCCTTCCCTTGACAGCTGCTGGGCCAGGGACTTGGTTTTTTCTAATCTGTAGGCAGGAAAAGTAGATGGTCAATAATAATAGTAATAGTAATAATATTAATAATGGAGGAGGGAACCTTGGGAACTTACTTCTTTTCTTATTGGAGGCAGGAAGTCAGAGAGCCTTGGCTGGCCTGAAACTTACTGAAGTCCTCCTGCCTCCGCCTCCAACAACTAAGGCTGAAGGTATACACAGCCACATGTGGTAGAGCACACTCTTTAAAAAAGCAAAAACTTATCCTGTTGTTTTGAAAAATATGTAGTTGGGCCGGGCATGGTGATCAAAGCATTCAGGAGGCAGAGACAAGTAGATCTTTGTGAGTTCAAGGCCAGCCTGGTCTACATAGTGAGTTACAAGCCAGTTAAGGTGACTTACACTCCCTCCCTTCTCCCCCTTTTCGTGTGTGTGTGTGTGTGTGTGTGTGTGTGTGTGTGTGTGTGTGTGTGTGTGTGTAGTTAGACTAGGCAGGATAAACAAGCTAGGCTATATGTTTGATATGTGACTCTACAATTTAAATATAACCCTCATGACTTACATAGGTTTGGCCAGAAAAACTCAGCTTAAACTTCCTAATAGCTGATAATATAAATGCTATTTTTCTGTTGCCAGCCCTGTCAGGCGGGTTTATATTTACCTTCACAGACCAGAGGGTACTGTCATGTCTCAGTCAGAACTTCAATTTTCCTTAGATACCATAACCTTTCTTTTCCCAGTCCTAAAAATATCTACTTTCCACAAAGTAATACTCATTCTCTTGCCCCCTTTATTATGCTTTTGGGCTTGGTCAGTATGTTTATTGTCTTTATGAAAAAAATCTTCACAGAAAATTGCTTTAGCTCTCAGCAGCTTATCCCTGAGCTCTGAGGAAGTTTGCCTTCTTTTGAGCAACCCGATCTTTCTACCAGGCATCTTCCAGGCAAGGGACATTTTGGTACGGTACCACCACCCCCTCCTCCCCCTTCTCCTCCTCCTCCTCTTCTTCATTTTCTTTTGTTTTGTTTTTCAACACAGGATTTCTCTGTGTTGCCCTGACTGTCCTGGAACTCGGTCTGTAGACCAGGCTGGCCTTGAACTCAAAGATCTGCCTGCCTCTGCCTCTGAGTGCTGAGATTAAAGGTGTGTGCCACCATTGCCCTGCCTCCCCCTCTTCTTAACTCCTCTCTTGGACTTCTTCTCACAGACTGGGTCCTCTTAGATAGCAGCAGCATAAGGAGCTTTCTTATGCACCTCTTCCATGTCTGGAGTTACATCGTTCTTCATGTACTGAGAGAATGGTTTCTTACAAGCATCTTTATCTTCCTCCATTAGGTGTGCGTGCGTGCGTGCGTGCGTGCGTGCGTGCGTGCGTGCGTGCGTGCGTGTGTGTGTGTGTGTGTGTGTGTGTGTGTGTGTGTGTAGTCTGCAATACTCTGACCCATGCTGTGCCTCTGATGGACTTCTGCATTGAACTCCATGCTTTCAGAATCATAATCAGGGAATTGTTAGGTACTATAAAGGATAGACAAGCCTCCATCCACGGCTCCCTTCAGGATGGATGCCAAAACTTTATTGCCAATTGTAGTTTGGGCAAGACCTGCATTCAAATAGCGAGTGAAGGTACCAGGCTGACCATCAATGCTTTCCACGGTGTAGCCATCTCCAGCCCATGGCATCTTGTCCATGCCAACTCTATTGAGAAGCCCGAGGGCCAGCAGCAGGCCAGCAGCAGGTCAGTACAACAGGCTGTGGCATAATTTGGCAAGCCAACTTTCACACTGTGTTTTGGTAGTTCATGTGCATATGCTGTGCAGACTATCATGTCCCCTCCAGGAGATGTCCCCTCAATCTGACAGATGAGATTTCTATTAGTTACACGAACTATCATCCTGTATTGGAGTGTGTTGTATTTATTTTTGCTCTGGATCACCAATCATTTCCCAGCATAGTCGTCAGTTTTACCCTCTCCCCACCTTCTAAATCTCAAAAATTATCTCTTAAAGTAAGCCTTATTCTTGACAATGTTAATAAACCCCATCCTGCAGAACAGAAGCCCACAATTGTGGCTCTACACAGACCTCATTATTATTATTATTATTATTAATATTATTAATGTATAGTTTCAAAGAGATGTGGTACTTCTCAAGTGGTCTGCATTATGCCCTGGGAGGAGTCAGCTTTCATGGCCCACCCAGATGAAGACCAGTTGAACATACTTTCCCATAAGGCCTTGTACCATGGAGCTGTCCAGGACGCCACCTCCACCTCCTCCACGCTGAGCCTCGCGGGCCAATGACAGCGCTTGTTGGGAATAGTCCTCAGTTTCCCTTGCTAGTTGCTTCATTGTGTTAGCTGCCTCAACGTGGCTGCAGACATTAAAGATAAAGAATTAGGGTTTTCATCGAAAAATCGGCACAGGTTAGTAACGGAAGTCGTTCTGGTAGACACAGAAAAGAATACAGGAACTGGCTTGCCTGTAAAAGCCAAACAGAACTGATGTGAATGCATGGAATCAGAGGAACTATGAGAAGCAAGTGCTCTGGAGAATCAGCCTCATGTCGCCACCCTTTGGTGGCCGCTTCCATTTATGCCTTACTCAGAGAAGGTATGGAGAGAGTAGAGGGGAGTAGGCTCGGGGTGACAGACCACTGCATCTATAAGCTGTTTTCCTGAAAGCAGAACCCCCACGGGCTGACCCACCCAGAGTCCACCTCCCCTAAATCGTGCTGGAACTTTAGAGTGGGCCTGCAACTAAGGGAGCAACATCTGTCAAAGCCTCCTAGAAACATCCCACCTCCTAGTGCTAGGAAGTAACGTCAAAACAATAAAAAAAACTGGGGCTCAGGGGCAGCTCATGCTACAAAATCAGAAGGCAGCCCCTCTGTGGACTGAATTCCACTCGAGATAAACAGAGCTTGCCACCCTGCCTAACAGAGCTTTGGAGCATGGGAGGATTTATAGTGTGAAGGAGTCAGGACCAAGGAAGCTGCCTGTAGCCCGCAGAGCCCTGCAGAGCTGGTTTCCAGGGGGAAGGTCCCTTTGTACCCTTGGCCCTCCCAAGCGAGCAAACAACTTGTTGCTACTTGTTCTCAGGCCTGGAGTGGGAGTTGAGGAGTCCCTAAAAGCTGCAAACGCCCGTTTCCAGCGGCTGATTCATTTCACATGGCCAGAAGACTCGCATCTAGCATGTCCTAAAGCTATCTGTGAGTCATGAAGAAAGCTGGGAAAGGAATACTTCCACCAACTCCTGCCAAATCCTGTGGACTGTCCCTGCCATACCCTGAAAGCTAAGAGGCTCAGAACCAGCTTCCAGGCAGGGGAGGAGCTCAGAGGAGCCTGGAGGGGGCAAATCTAGTGTTTCATAGTCTCGAATTGCAGAGGTAGCCTGGAGCAGGGGTACCAAACACAGCTGCTTACCTGTCTGCCAATCTCGTGGCCTCCTGAGCCAGACTTTTAAAGCCATTTGGCCCCACAAAGTGCTCTGAGGAATGGATGTTCTATGGGGAAAAAGAAAATCGGTTAAGGTTTTGCATTTGACTCTGGAGCCTCAACAGAAGCGCCAGAAGGATTTCTCACTCGCCACAGAGGAGCCCATACCCTGACACACACCAAAGGCAGTCAACATGAGCACTCATAAAAAGGTGTGCATTGACAAGAACAAAGTAGCTATTCAATTTTGAAAGAAGTCTATGCAAAATATAGATTCATCTAAAAGTATATCTATTTCTCTGACTTGGTAGTGGACACTCGTAATGCTTTGGGGGCAGAAGCAGAAAGGTTGTGATATTGAGGCTAGCCTGGGCTACATAGTAGATCCTGCCTCAAAAAAAAAAAAAACACATATTTGTGTATAAAGGCCAGGGTTGATCTTGGATCTCTTTCTTTTTTACTCTCTATTTTATTTTTTGAGACACTGGGAACATACCATTTGGGTTGGACTGGCTGGCCAGTGAGTCTCTGGGACCCTCCTGTCCCTGCCCCCTTCCCAGCACTGAGGTGACAGTATACCACCACAACTGGCTCTTACTGGGCTCTGGGGACTGAACTCAGGTCTCTACGCCGTCACCACAAACACTTACTTCCTGAGCCATCTTCCCAGATCAGTACACCAAGTTTGGACAATAGTTATTTAGTGGTAATTGGATCATAGGAGGTTTTTATTGATTTTCTACAATAAACATTTTCAGATGGGGGAATCAAAACAATATTGATGTGATTTTTTTTTCATTATACTATCTGATTATCCTTCGATTTCCTTTTTTTATTTAATCCGTTGCTGCTGGTTTTGAATCCAGTTTTCGTACACCTCAAGCTGACCTTAAACGCTAGCGGAGGCTGACCTTGATCTCCTGGTCCTCCTGCCTCCCCCAAACTCAGCCCAATTTCCTGTACTCATCCCTACTCGTTCCTGTTTCTATCAGCCTTGGCGTTTATTTGGTTTGGCTTTGAGCCAGGAGCTCACTGTCTAGAGGAGACTGACCTTGAACTTGCTATTCTCCTGCCTGGGCCTCCTGAGTGCTGGGCTCAGAGGCATTCCTCCCCCTAGGCCCAGTTACACCATAAACGTAAGGGGCTCCATCATATCTCGCTCTCCTATCGCACCCCGAACTACACAGGGAGTTGGTGCTGATCATACAGGCTCCCGTAGTCCACTCTTTCATCCTCAGGCCCAATCAGACTCTTCCCTTCCCACCCCTCTGCTTCCTTCCTTTCTTCTTCCCGCTTTTTACTCACTCGTTAACTCATTTCTTTATCTTTTTTTTTTCTTTTTCTGTATTTAGGCAGCAAACAAATACAACAGCCACATACTGCACTGAGGTTGAGAATACAACTGTGAACCAGACTAAATTCTACAGAAAGGAAAGAGGAAAGGCGGGGTTATGTCTACTGTGAAAGTGTGGCTAGAAAGAAGTCAACTACGGAGCTGTGTGTAATGCAGTTCTGTGGGACATTGCAGGCGGCAAAGGGCACAAGGGAGGGATGGATGGACGGACGGACGGACGGACGGATGGATGGATGGATGGATGGATGGGTGGGTAGATAGATAGATAGATAGATAGATAGATAGATGATAGATAGACAGATAGATAGACAGATAGATGATATGTAGGTATGTAGATAGGTAGGGGGAGAGAGAGAGAGAGAGAGAGAGAGAG